CAAAGTGTTGCTAGAGGAGAAGTTTTTAAAAAAAAAAATTAGTGGCAAACTGGTCTTGATAGGTGAAGCTATGGCCGTTTAAATGTGAAATATCGAATTTAAGTTCATATGAATATAGATCTGTTCCAAAAAAAAAAAGTTCATATGAATATAGATAATATTTTTGACACTATCAAACAGCTAAATTAAAAAAATTCCGTTATTATCAAAAAAAAAAAATCCATATACTGTTACTAGCAATACTATATACCTGTCCAACAATAAGCTTCTTTCCATTTTCTAATCTCTTCATTTCCTCTCAACTTTTCATGTCAATCATTGAATTTATTTTTGAATAATTGAAATTAATGTTTCATAAAATTAATTTATTAATGATTTTTTTTAAATTTTATATTTTAATAATAATTTTATGAAATATTAAATCTCAACCATATAAAAATAGATTTAATAGTTGAAATGAAAAGTGAAGAGAAAATAGAGAGGAGAGGAAATGGAGATAAGTCCGTCTATAACAATAACAATAACAGTAACAACAATAACAATAACGGTAACAATGATTAGCTCTTTGTGTGTATAGTGTCTTTTATATCCAAAAGTGTCAGTTTGTTACTTTTATCTTTTTTGGCCAGCCATTGTTATATCATACTCCCTCCGGTCTTATTTATAAGTCATTTCTACCAACCTCATCAATACCAATACAATAAAAGTACAAGGAATAAAAGTAAGTAAAATTCCAAACATGCCCCTATATAACAAATCTAAAAAGTAATGTCCTATTACTTTTTCTCTCTCATGAAGGGTAATTTTGGAAATACCTCTCAAATATTACCTAAAAAGACGCACCGTGACTTATAAATGGAACCAAATACATCTTCTAAAATTGGACTTATAAATGGGACCGGAGGGAGTAATTATTAATGTGCATTGACATAATGTAATGTAATCAACTCTCTCACGACCTAGTTGAGATTTAATTAATTGTATGATTTATTAGAACCTGAAAACTCAACTTTTTATCCGTTACACAAATATTATATTATATAGGTAAAGACAGTGTTTACTCTGCGCTGTGAAATGAAAATTACCGAAGCAATCGCCCTGTTCAAGACTATTAAAGTGTAGCCTGTGATATTACATGTATAACAAACCCCACTTGGTTAATTATGATCAAAATACCAATAAGTACAATTATAGACAAAAGCCACAATGAAATTCATAATTTAAATGAACAAATTGATTAATTAAATTCAAACAACCAAGACCAAGTATTGTTTGTTAATCATTAGTTGTGGGCATTTCAAAAACGACATAACGGGCAGATATTGCTATGTTACCACCATACGAACAGCTTACACGTCAACTTCAAGTTTTTCTAAACAACTTGTGCAAAGGCTTGACCTTTCTTCTTGACCAATTCAACTGTTTCAAACACCCAATAGATTGATTCACTTGTAGGCACCAATAATGCTTGATAATGTTGAATTACATTACAATAAATAGCAATTTTGAAAGATTAATTTTCAATATTTCACTTTAAAAGATGATCAATCAAAAGATTTGTTTTAATTCTCAAATTCATTTGTCTTTAACTTTGAAGGTCATTTTTTTTTACTCACATATATCTTTTTATTTGAGGTAATCCTATTTAAAGTACTGTCGAATATTTATTGTGAGGTCATTAAATTGAAAAACTAGTTCTTTCTTTTAAATCTATCTAACTCCTGATGGGTTCAAGATCAAATCTTATCGTAAACTAATAATATTAAATTAGGTGTAGCATCACTTCAGTCCAAATTTCCAACCCACAATGACCTTAGATTCCCCCGAAACAAGAGAGGAAAATAGAAAGAAACAGAGAATAAAATGCAAAACTGAAATAAGAATTAATAATAAAAATAAGAAATAATTTAGATTAGGGTATAAAATGCCATGGGCGATGTGGGGTTATGTGAAAGTCCTCCAATTCAATTCGACTCAATCCAATTCGAGATGATCCTGTCTTGTTCAGTCCATATAAACACTGATTCTTGAGGATCGAAAAGATTAAAAAGATTAGGCTATTTTTTCAGGTTGGATTGGACAGGAGACTGAGTATCTGGACTACTTAGTTCAGTCTAGTCCTATTAATTTATTTAATATAATTATAATTAATTTATTTTTTATAAATGCTTCAAGTGTAATTAATGTTAAGGAGATAATTGCATGAAAATTGTTGAGTTTGTTTTTAAATTGTTGTTATAATGTAGTATTGTTGAAGTTTATTGGGTGTTGTTTTTTTTGAAGTTATAAATTTAAATCATTTAAACTATAACTAAATCTTTTTTTTTCTTGTTGTTGAAAATTATTATAAATTTATTATGATTGTAAGTGTTTTTTATTATTTTAACTGAGCTTATTAGATTGAAATGGATTATTGCTTCTTATGAAAAAAAAGAAAAAAAAAACAACAACTAAGTGAGTATTGGCAACAATACCAATCTCTTAACCTATGAACTAAGTTTGATCTTATTAATCTTTAGATTATCATTAGACAAGATTAGACTATAAATTACTTAACCCAATTTTTTTATAAAAGAGATCAAATTTTAGATTAGACTGAAATTCAATGTTGTGTTGTCCACTCTAGGGTGATGTACCTATTAGATTTTTTTAAAAATAAAAAATAAAACAAATGTAACTGTTGCAGGTTGACACATTCCTCAGTTCAATCATTCTTCATCAGTGAGCTTCATTTCTTGAGTTGAATCAAACCCCAAAAGAAAGAAAAAATTATTGGGATAAAAACTCAAAAGTAAAGATATTTACAACATGATTGAAAAGATGATTAGAATGGTCACCTATCAGTCATCACTATCCACGTTCCACATCAAGGAGCCAAGAATATGATAATAACCTCTTTTACGTCTCTATCAAATATTTCTTTCCCCTCCTCTTCTAATTATAACTCAAACTTAAATACTCCTGTTTAATCCAAATATATAGAGAGTAAAGATTCAGTGTTTATATATATATATATATATATATATTGTTTCAATCTTACCCTTCATTTAATTTACTGCATCAAGTTGTTGCATATTTTTAATTCAACTACAACATTTATTGTGGATATTAATTCAAGTGAAAAGTAAAATTAATTTTTTTAACAAATTTACAGATCACAACAACTTTAAAAAGTGTGAAGTGATTAACTTTGCTTTACAAGGAGTGAGTATATATAAACATTGGGCACTAATTTTTATCTTGCTCTGCGTAAAATGAGTATACATACTTTCTTTCGTCTTTATATGCAAGTCATTTTCAATTATCCCATTAAAAAAAAAAAAAATAATTAAATTATTGATATTGTCTAAAAAAAAGGAATTTTATAATTTATCTTTATTAAATATATTATCTTTTAAAAATTTTCTAACACGTAATATTTTACCTTACTCAAAAAATTGTTAAATGAAAAATTGAAAGAAAGTAATTAATAATTTATTTTTCATCAAAAATATTACCTTCATTTCAAATTATAAGATATTTTTGGGGGATATTTAACATTCTAAAACATAAGACACTTTAACAAAAATAAAGTTTCATTAATTATACTTCTTTAATATTATCTTTTCTATTATATTCTCTCTCTTTAATATTATTTAAAAAACAAAGTATTAAATGAACAGTATTTTTAAAAATTTATAGTTTTATTTTAAAAATAAAACTGTGAAGTATATTTAATGAGTCTCATTGAAAAATATAATTTTATCTAGAGGTGTCTAATAATTTAAAATAGAAAAGGTAACTTATAAAAAGGCCATCAATTTTTTAGAGGATGGCTTACAAGCAAGTGTGGGAGTAAACATCATGTAAGTTTTGAGGCATTTGCGTTTCTTTGTTGAGCTTCAGCAAAACAAGCGCCGATAGGGCAATTTATCTTCTATGTTTACCAGTCTTAATAAATGACTTAAGCTTTATAGGTGCCTTCCTCATCATGCGCGCCCTTTTTTCCTCTGAAGAATGGCACTGGGGACTGTCAAAAGAGAGGGGAAAAATAGTAAAAAGGTTATAAATAATTGAAGATTTTTTTATGTATAATTAAAGATTTATCAATTAACTTGTATATAAATAAACTTTCGCTTATTTAAGGACATTCACGACTTTTTTCTCTCTCCTTTGGGGGCCTCACTCACATTCTTTCTCCCCCGTTATTTTTTATTAAAAATAATCTTGTCTAAGTCAAAAGTAAACACTAAACTTAAGTACTTCTCATAACAAAGAGATAATCTTCAGTTCACTATATTATATTAAGAGACCATTCTTTTCTATTAGCCTTCGCTCGTTAATCATGTTTCACACACACAATTAGATCTTGTCTCGATTTTTTTTGGCCAAATGATCATGTCTCAATTTGGAAGAGCATAGTTGCACATTAGGTGAAGTAATTTAAAATAATAATAATAATTAAACTGGCCCTTTTTGAACCATTTTAATAGTAAGATTTAATGTAAATTAAAAAAATCAATTAAAATTCATATGGTTCAAACAAATTTTAAAATTTATTACTATAAAATTTCTTTTTTTTTTTGTTTTTTTTACGCATACTTTCTTCACTCACTTCTCATCACTGTAAAAGATCAACAAAAATTTCTTAAATCATTAAAAAAAATTTAAGACCACTATTAGTTTAATTTTTTTTAATCTCTTTTATACGTATCCTTTAGATTATATTAATTTAAATTTAAACTGGTACGATTATCTGTCAATTACATTTAATCATTGAATTTTGAACTAATATTTTAACTAGTTTAATAATTTTTTCAGTTCTTAATTTTTTTTATAATTAAAGATGATCATTATGCCTTACATAAAATTTGAGATTTGTCGCACTATTAATATTAATAATTTTATAAATAATGTTTACCTCTTATAATTTTTATATAATATATTAATATTAATGATACGTTGAAAGAAATTTTTGGTTACAGTTATTTAGCATTATTCGTTAACGAGCGAGTGGTCCTGCTCATCTGTCATCATTTCTGATCTTCTTCCATTCTATTCTGTCTGGTTTGCTCTGTGTCTGTCTTACTCTCCTCTACTCCCTCACGGTATAACTAAGACCAATGACGAGGAAGGTCTCCAATTTCTCGGATCTGATCCAAAGGGTCACCGCCTCTTGCTTGCTCCACCCGCTCGCCGATACACGCTATGACTCTTCCGGCGACAAGGACGAAAATCTCCTCTACGAATCTGAACCTAACAAGGACGTCGATGAAGATGGGGAAGCCGACAAGGACAGCGAAGACGAGGAAGAAGACGAAATCGACGACTGCGATGAAGGAAAAATGGCCAGTCTCAAGGCATTGGGGGAGAAGAAGAAGTTGAAGCAGATGGAGTCACTACTGGAGGAGGTGTTCGAAGCCGTATCGGCGATGAAGAGATCGTATGTGAGCTTGCAGGAGGCACATTGCCCGTGGGACCCGGAGAAGATGAGGGTTGCTGACGTGGCAGTGGTGGCGCAGCTGCGGAAGCTCGGGGTGCTTCGTGAGAGGTTCCGGCGGCGGCGTGGAGTCGACGAGAATGGTAGGAGGAGGGAAGTGCGGCGGAGGGCGACGGGATCTCTGAGAGAGGTGGTGGCGCCGTACGAGGCGGTGGTGAATGATCTAATAAAGGAAGTGAAGGCTAAGGATTTAGAGGTTCATAGTCTGAAAGAGAAGCTTGATAATGTGGTTACTCTCTCGAGCAATGGTGGTGGAAAGAAGGTTGGGAGATCTCAGTCTAAAAGGAAGCTTGGAATCAGTCAGATCCAAGGTAAATAAACAAATAGAAAATTATCTTCTCCTGGGAAGATTTTTTGTTTGGCTAGCGAGAAAATTCAGAGGAAAGTTTCTAGATTCTTTTGTTCTCTTTGTTTATTTCAAATATATTATTCGTTAGTCGTTACCATTTCAATCTTTCGAGGAGTAATTTTCTTTTTGATTTGAGGTAAATTCGAAAGTACATATAGTTAGTTGATAGAAACTTTTTGGCTTGCTTCAGAGAAAAGTTTCAAAATTCAGGATTGAGTTTATTATGCTTGGCGTCAAATTATCAGTTCGTCATTTTCATGGCATTTCTTGGGTATGTTCAAGACCACGATAGACAAAATTTCTCCGATATTAACCGTAACTTGAATATTGAAAATGAGTGACACAGTTATTGATAAAAATTAAAAATAACATACAAGACAAGAAGAGCCCTTTTATTTTAGAATAGCTTTTGATAGAAACTTTGTTTGGCTAACCTGAATATTCAGAAAAGTTTGAAGATTTCTTTTGCTCTTCTGTTCTGTTGATTCAAGAATAAACTACTTTAAAGATATGCCCTGCCTTAATTTTCTAAAGAATATTCACATCAACCTCTAGAATTCAACTCTGTTTAAAATTAAAATTGCTGCCTGAAAACTGAAATCTGAGCCTTTCTGTACAACTTCTGGCAGCAGTTGCAGCAACCCCATCTCCAGAACTCTTTGAAACAGCAATGTTGCAAGTAAGAGAATCATCAAAGTCCTTCACATCTCTTCTTCTCTCTCTAATGCACAATGCACATTGGGATATTACAGCTGCTGTTAGATCCATTGAAGCCGCCACAGCTAGTGCCACTGAAGAAAGTTACAATCCCTCAGCCATCACCATTGCCACATCCATTGTCTCAGCTCACCATGCCAAGTATGCCCTAGAATCCTATATTTCCCGGAAATTCTTCCAAGGATTCGACCACGAAACTTTCTACATGGATGGAAGTCTCTCTTCCCTCCTCAACCCAGATCAATTCAAGCGTGATTGCTTCACCCAGTATCATGACATGAAGTCTATGGATCCTACTGAGCTCCTTGGGATCTTACCATCATGTCACTTTGGCAAATTCTGCTCCCAGAAGTACCTTGCCATTGTCCACCCCAAGATGGAGGAGTCTTTGTTCGGAAATTTGGAGCAACACCAGCAGGTTTCGACCGGGAGCCATCCCAGGAGTCAGTTTTATAATGAGTTTTTAGGGGTGGCCAAGGCTGTTTGGCTGCTTCATTTGCTGGCATTCTCGCTCAATCCTGCTCCAAGTCAGTTTGAGGCAAGTCGTGGTGCTGAATTTCATTCACAGTATATGGAGAGCGTAGTGAGATTTTCCGGTGGGCGAGTGCCGGCCGGTCAGATTGTAGGCTTCCCGGTTAGCCCTGGATTCAAGCTTGGAAATGGATCTGTAGTCAAGGCTAGGGTTTATTTAATTGCTAGAGCATGAGGTTTTCCCTGTCGGGATAGTGTTTCAGAAGAGCTAATGAAGTGATAAAGACATCCGCCTCGTAAGGGCTGCTTAGATTAGTACTGATGTAATATCAAAACCATGAAGTTATGTTACTGATTTTAAGGGGAGTTGACTTGAAACTGCTCAGCCGAAGCATCTGATTTTGGATCTAATTCGTAAAGTGGCTATGATGTACTGTAGTCGTTCCTGAAGATTGTCATGGCATGTCTAGTACTTTTCTGAGATTCATTAAACAGGGTGCACAGAAGAGTCTCGACATTTTTATTTATCACCTTTTCTAGTTATCTAGGCAGTTTGAGCATTTAATGTAATCATTTTATATCTAATCTAGTCTAAATATCTATCTAATCTAAATCTAATATTTTTTCTGGAAAAAAAAATAAATATAAATCTAATCTTCTAAATACCTTTGTATTTGCCCTCGGGATGGTTACTTTAAGGTGATTTAAATTAGGGGGAAGACTGTAACAATTAGATTGTAAAGATAGTTTAATAATTTTAAATTTTTCAACACAATTACAAATTAAAAAATTAAGTACTTTAAGATTTTTAACGGGATATTTCTAATGATATTAAAAAGTAGATTAAAGTGTCAATTTTAAAAACAAAAATGTGATATATGTAATTTTAATAAAATAGAAGGAATGTCATAGTATTTTATCAAAGTTTTTAATAAATTTTAGGAAGAATTACACTTAAGTTTTAAGAAAGAGATTTAATTATCAAGAGGTCACATAAAAATTAAAATATATTTACAACTTAACAAAGAGTATTTACAATTGGGCAGCAAGCATTTACATCTTGTAAAGGAAAATAACAACTTATAATAATAAATTATAAATACTTATTACTCAATTGTAAGTTAGCAGAATTTGAAATTTACGAGTATTTTATATATTTTTTGAGATCTTTTAATAATTAAATCTCTTTTGTGAGATTTAAGTGTAATTTTTTTACAATTTTTTATTTTTTATTTTTTACATTTTTTTTCCTTTAACAGAATTTTATAACTCTATTTATCCATCTTTTCTAAATCAAGCACATTAAAATCTTTCATCCCCTTCATTTTTCCTCAATTTCCCTCAAATCAACCCTTATTCCCATCAAATCATTTTTTTAGCCAACTATTCGCATCAAATCTAATAGATGATAACTAATATCTTGTCGCGTGAAATTGTAGTTTTAATAAAATTTGATCTTTTTATTTAAAAAAAATATAAAGAGACTAGATATACTTATGCTTTTCTAGTTTTCTTGATGATTAAGGCAACCCATTTGTTCTTTTAATATTAAAGAAAATCAATATTTTGTCTCAAGATAAAAGACCAAGCAACTTCAAAGAAATAAAAAAACGGTGAGCAAGCCAACCCATCCGCTTTATCAATGGGGATTGCAGAGATTTTGCCAGCTACTTTAAAGGAATATATTTGAATTTTTTTTTTTTTGCTAGAGTTATTTGATGAATTAGGTGATTGTACAATGAACGCTAAATAAATAAAAAAAGGTTTTGGTTTTATTTATCTATTTAACAAATAGGGAAGTAACCAGTGGCTTAATGCCACAATGACACATACTCCTTTCAAGGAGGAAAATTCCTAGTCCTATCCTTTGTGGCACGTATAGATGACCAAGTAATTGATGCCAAGGTAAATTGATTTGAAACTGCTCAATTAATTACTCTTTATAATTTTTTTTTAAATCAATGCTTTATCACAAGGAAATAAGCCATGCGACTTTAAATAAAGGAAAATATTTGATTTATTTAGTCTAAACTCTAATGGCATTCAGGTGTCACAGGGTCACAGTGAGCAAACTTACCCCAGCCGCACTATCAATGACGAACAAGGTGAATGCATGATGAGAGTAACAACTTTTTATTGATTTCTTCTTTCATACAGGTACAGGGCCACAGGCTTTGATTTTACCTGTCTATGCAACAAATTGGGGGAGTAAGTAGCTTCTTCCCCAGTAATAGAAAAATGATAATAATACACCATACCTCTAATACATAAACCTGAATTCTCCAGTTGTTGCACAATCACTTTCTTTATCTCACCATTTATTTACCTCTAACAAGGAAAGAGAGACATGCGTGTCAATTGAGTCCACCATTTTCTCCCCCCCCCCCCCCCCAAATTGACTATGCATTAACAAGAGAATATTGGGCCCAAATGTAAATATGATAGGCTGCCTGTTCGATGTTTAAGAAATAAGAATACGCTCACATAAACCTAGGCGCCGAGTGGCAAAAATATAAGATTTGAAACAAATCTAAAATAGGCTGCCTTCACCGAACAAATTTGTTGAAGACCATAAGCGGGAGGGCAGTTTGTCTGCTTAGTGAAATCTCAGAATCATTGAGAATAACTATAACGGTCCCCTGAAAAATCTCTTGGCCTGCATATATGAAGTACATATTGAGAACTTTCAAAACTGACAACAAGCAGAATCATGTAGTCAAAGACATTTATTTATGATACCATGTAAAAGCGAGTTCAATCCACCAGAATAAAGGGTATTCTTTCACGACTTTCTAGGCCACCCACAGGTTTTGGCCAAAAATAAAATAGGCTATCCACAATCATTTATCACCCGAAAAAAGAAGCCCATAAGACATAAGTCATAACAATCTGACTTCACTACCAACAAGCGTCAGTCTAGACTCTGGAGGTGGGATCATATAACTTAGCTGAAAGACACAGTGCCGCAAGTTCCAGCTAGCAGCTTTACTTTATGTGGGTGTGATCAAAGTGAAAAACAAAAGATACCTAAAGGCATTTTCTCGAGTAAATAAATTTGTGTTAAATTTATCCTATTCCTTCAGACTCTTTTTTTTTTTTTGGGACCAACATCCTATTCCTTCAGACTGACTTGCAAAATTTCCGCTGGGCAAAAGAAAAAAAGGATTGAACTGTCCAAAACAGACCTGACCTGCTCTTTATAAATATGAGCCTGAATAAATATGTAGCTCCTTTAAGGGATTGGGATCCTATAAAATAAGAGGATTATGAAGTATCTTTAAAGAGAGTGTGTGTGTGAGAGAGAGTGGGGGAGGGTTGGAGTGGATAGAAAGGAAGTGGTTATCATACACACTCCTTGTTTTGCTCTGTTTCTCACTTAGAGTTTCTTTCTTCAGATGATCCCTATTATTTTTAAGCAAGAAGTCCCTAAATTATGTAGCATGAATTAGATAGGTACAAGGCAATCCATGAGACCCTTCAGTTAGAGAAGTTTCAATATGCAATATAGCTAGATTTACACAACATTAAACAGTCACCGTAGCAAATAAATACAAATATCTTACTTGCTCAAGAGTTAAAAACATAATCACGTTCCAAAGTCCCACTCGAGCAAAATTAGGACAGAAACCTTTATAGAAAGCCCAAGATCCCTGCAATAGATTCGTGCCATGAGTTCATATTGCTCAGCGGTGTAGATAACTTCTACAGAATCTATACAATAACTTCTTAATCAAGGCAGCAAAGCTAGAAGCAATAAGTGAAAATTATGTTCAGACTCCTCGAAGAGAATACTAAAAGTTATATTGGCATTCACTGGTTTAAAGATTTCCAGGTGCAAATACAACTACAATAAAATCATTTTGAAGAACCAGTTGTGTCGAAGTATTTCACCGACCTCATTAAACAATGTCTTGAGAAAGCAATCAAGAGTGTTTTTGTACGTTGAATCTCCCATCATTCTTGATTTCACCTAAAAAGTTATAAGCATTGACAAATCATCATCTTTCAGATTAGAAATGAGATACAGTTGCTTCATATGATAAGATAATGATTTTCATTCAAAATTGTTTATCGGGAAACCTCCATGGTCCATGGAACATCAAAATGAATCTTGTGATAATGCTTGAAGATAAATATTCTATTCCAATTTTGAATTGTCATTTTTTGTCTCCTTTTGTATAAATACGCATGCCATTAAGATGATAATCTTAGATGTAGTGTAGAGATAAGGGATTTGTTTTTGGAGGGTGGGGGAGCACCTACCACATCCACCGGAGAACCAATGAAGACAGCAAAGAGACCTGCACCTAAGCCAGCTAGGAGGTGGGTGAAGACATTGTCTGTGAACCCTGGAATTGTCAAAATTGTCTGCATAAGTATAAAGAATCAGAGCAGCATTGCGATTAACATTTTCCGTAAAGCTACATCTACAAAATTATAGCGCAAAACTTCAACACACTATAGTGGGGTTACCCGTTTCACTTGATCATAACTAGCTAGTTCAGCAGCATTTATAATTGCATTCCGTGCTATATTAGGCCCAAGCCCAGTCCACAAAGACCCTAATCCTTCCTAATTTAACAAAAAAGTTATACCACACAAAAAATATACTTATATTATCAAAATATCGAAAGAACCAAAACAAAATTCATCGTCAGAGAGTCCCACCTGTCTCGCAATTGTAAAATAAGCATCCATGGCACCAGAATAACGCCTAGGAACCCCCATTGGCAATTGTCCTTCAGATTGAAGTCTTACTTTGACTAGATCAGTTGGATTAGCAACCATGATTCCCAGAGCACCTGTTCCAAGTTAAAAGCTACTCATAATGCATATCCAATGCATTTGATGTGGCAATAATGGGAAAAAAATAACACTTTTAAAGCTTCGCACTGCAAGTTTTCATTTATATTAATCATTTCTCTTGGTTCCCAAGTATGCGGATAGCTCTTAGAGGTGTCACACATGTTGATGAAATTGTATAGACAAAATTTTAGGAAAGAGACTGTTCCAAAGGACTCACCAGTCAACATAGCTGCAAGGATCATGTGGTATAAGGGGATCTCCTCAACAAATGCACTACCAACAAGAAGTATTTTGACCTGTCCATTGTGCAGTTTATATGTGCAAACCCATGTTCTCCCAACGACGTGGTCATATTCAAAAAAGGAAGACATTTATACTCACAGGATCATATAACCCAATTCTTAAGCCTCCGTACAAAAACTGACGATGTAAACCAGGAATAATGCCTTTCCACAAAGCTGATAAGCCTTCTTCTCTAGCAATAGTTTTAACTGTGCCTAGCAAGCCCCTATATTTAGGTATGCCCGTTCCATCGCCAGCTGCAGCTTTCTTTTGGAGTTGAAGCCTGACCTTAGCTGTGTCAAGAGGAATAGTACAGAACTACACCAAATCCAAGCAGAAACACAGTATTAAAACTACCAATTATGATCGTAGCAAACTACAGTTCCTAAGACATACTTAGGATACACAAACATGAAGATGTCTATCAACACTACAGAACATGTAAACGAGCAGAAAGGACATATGTAAACATGTATAAAATGAAATGACAATATTCTACCATAATTAATCTATCCAGTATAAACCAGGAAAGATGTATGCGAATAAGCGTTTTGTATGATTTGCAACTTCATTTAAAAACTTCAATTAAAATCTATCCACTAGAAACCAGTTACTGACTTCCATTCATTTATTAAGAACCCTTCCAGTGTTTTCCCAAAATAGACTTCCGGTAGTTCTCATTAAGAAGTATCGAGTGATTATGAATAGTTCCTGTCCTCTCCATTATGGATATGTTCATATAGCATGAAAAGAAACGCAATGCTTTGAATGAGTGAACTTGCATCTATAGATTTTTTTTCATTAAGCTGAATTATATAACTTACACGGTATCATTGCTCAGAATAAGAAGCTTCTTAAATTAAAGGAATGACAAGTATTATGAATTTCTTCATTTGGTGCAGCTCTGATTCTTCCCCCGGAATTTTCTACTCATACACAACCAACATTCATATCTAAATTAATTATGTACTTCTCTGATCTATTTCATTCTGCAGATAGAAATTTTCCATTTTAAGGACAGGTAGATATCAGAAATGTTTGATTTAATATGATGTTGCTGCACGCGGATTATTTGTTCATCATGTTCACAATTTCCCCACTCATTTCAACGAGATTGAGTATAGCCTAGTTCAACAATCAGCTCAGAGCCCATCTCACAGATCTTACAACTGATACGAATCAGTTCAACTGCTGATCTCAGCTAAAGCGGATGCATTTACGATCAGACCAATAAACACGCCAAAATTCACAATAGCACAAGGAGATTGATAGTTACCTCGGCCAAACAAGCAGCAAAAGCGCTGCACAAGAAAGCCTGGGAAAACGAGATCTGGGTTCCGGAATTGAGATCTGGCATTGTATCCGGAGGAGAGAAATCTAGAAGGAGGACGGTGAATTGTGTAGACGAAATGAATATTCGAATGAGTTAAATATGGAGGTTAGGTTTTGTTTGATGTGATGGTCTTAATCAAACAAAAAGTATGAAAGGGAAGTGGGAGAAAGCACATCATTCCATTGAAGATCAATGAAGGCTCTCTGGTTTGCCGATTGCTGTTTCACGGCGTCCAGTAATTATCGTCCCGGCTATTTTGAAGTTACTGTGGCCGCCATTAGTTAATATTTCATTTTCACTTGTGCTTCATGTGACCAATTTTCAGCATATTTTTTAAGCCATCTTTCACGAAATATGATTTTCTTTTTTAAATGTTAACCAATTTTCAAAATCTATATAACTGATCCTTGTTGAGTTTTTTATACAAAGAGCCTCCTAAAAATCATGACATGTCTCGGGATTAAAAAAAGCACTTGTAAATCGTCCAGTGATAAAGCCATTACTTGTAAATCGTCCAATAATAAAGCCATTACATTGATATTGGAAATAAGCTAGATTGGATTAGTTGAATTTCATCAGTGAAGGGTTGTAATTTTGTAGTTCTAGCCTTTTAGAGAATACACTATTCATTTTTTCAATTAATTTTAAAAGAAATGGATGAACACTAACGCTAGAGGTTCTTGTTTCTCATGACTTGGGTTTGTTACAGGATAATGTTCTTCTTCATCAAGTTGACTGTTAGTGCTAGACAAGGGGAATCTCTGCCAAGGAGAAATAAAGATGTAATTAGTTATATAAAACATAAAAAGATACTGAAAAGGTTTTTGTTAACTTTTTTTACTGGCATATATTAAAGCCCAATCATGAGTATATTTTTTTTTGTTAAAAAATATCAAATATTTTCAATCAAATTTTAATTCTCAATAAAGTAATTATTTTTTTAAATTAACACTGTCTTTTTACATTTAATTCTATTTAATATAGTATTTTGTTTTAAAATAAATATAAAATAATTTATTTATTAAGGCACTTTTGGGAAAAACGTAATAATTACATATCAAAATATTAAAAATATCTTACATTTTTTAACAACTAACTTTTTAAAAAATATTTTACATTTGTTAAGAAGTATAAGTGCAAAATAAGATATTTAAAAAATAATACTATTATCCTAATTTATCAGACACTTTTAAAGGAGATTTAATATTTTAAAATATTAGACACCTTGATAAAAATAAGGAGAATTACAATTAGATCCCACACAAAAAAAATTAATTACTATAAAATTTATTGATAATTGACCTAAACTGCACTAACAATGTCAGTGTAATTTAGTTTATTTGTCAATAAATTTTACAATAATTAATTTTTTAATATGAAACTTTAATATAATTCTTTCATTAAAAAAAGGTGTCATGATGTTTTTCTGTCTCTAATATTTCTTCATAAATAAAATATTAAATGGAAAATATTTTTTAAAAGTTTATATTTTGTTTTAAAAAAATAAAATTATAAAATATTTGGTAAGCTCGCAAAAGAGCAACTCACATGACACATCAATAAATATCTGGTATCTAAATGTTTAATCACAAAATTGATATGTATTAAAAATAATTATACCAATCTAAATTTAAAAATAAATAGTAACCATACAGTTTCAAATAAATTACATTTCATACATGAGCCAATGATATAACAGCTAGGTATCAGCTATTTCATTTTCAGGTGAATTGAGAATGTGCAGAATTGGAGATGGCACATTCCAATTGCTGAGAGAATCTAACGGCGGTGATTATGCAAATGCATGTGAGCATGCCTACACTCGAGCATTTATTGAGCAGAAATGACAGGCGCTACTCACGTGATAGTATACGAAGGTGATGTATTAGGTCTTGTGCCCCGGTTATTCGAAAGACAATAGGGGCAAAATTAATGTTCCTAATTTTATATATTTAATATGTTTGTACGCAGTGAGATTAAGGTTTGCGAATTTTGATGTGTTGATAATATCGCTAATAAGAATTTGTTATAAAATACATAATCTCTAACAGATACGTATATTTTGATTCAATTGAAACAAATACCTTAAATATATAACAAGCTTTTCTTAAATAATAATGTAATTGATTTTTTTTTCCTGGCCAGCAATGTAATTGATTTTATCAGAGGTATATAGGCTGCTTTTTTACCCTAACCTAACGTAACGTGTGTGTGTGGTGTTGAATAAGATTAATAAATGTGATTAATGACCCCTTGCTTTTCAAAACAATGAAAGCTGTGATGTTCTCGCATGAGAAATGAATCCATGGAAAAATGTTTCGAAAAGGACATTCATTCCATTAACTACTTTTTATTGCTCATAAATATTTTTTTAATCAAATATAATCTTATTTGAAATATGAATAGATATGAAATGTGAATTTTTTTTAATAGAAATTTAAACATTAGCTTCTTGCTTTTTGACATTGTCTATTTATTATTTAACAACGAGAAAATAATTACATTGACTTGTTCGCAGCACTTGTTTTTCCAAATAGGTAATTTAATTTTAATTAATAAAATAGTCATCTCGATCTGGTCTGATTTTCTTTGCGCCCCGCTACGTATATTAAAAAAAAAAATGAAGCACCAAATTTTTATCCAACAGAAATTCTTACACGAACTTGATTAAAAAAGATTGATTAAAATAATTCATTCACTTTAACTATTATATTTAAAAAATAAAATGCATAAATAAAGGAGCTATGAGGTAGGATTAAAATAAGGTGACTTATTATAATTTGGTTGACCAAGGTTTAGATAACTTGGTGCTCTGAGCATATGCAAAAATTTTTCTCACTAGATTAAAATAAGTTAATTTATTGTATTCTAATTGGTCATTATACAGATTACGGATGAAGTGGTAACAGTAGGATTCTAAGTGCATGCAATAATTTCTATCAATGCGTCTTGGCCAAGTTTGATGAGTCAATCAAAGTTAACATGAGAAAATTAAGATCAGACTTAACAAAATTGCCTATTTTAATTGTTCAGTCATGTTTTGGCCGGATTGACTAAGCTTGAGATAATTGAGCTAGGCCGGATTAGGTTAAGGCTTGTCCTTAATACTTGAATAGTATTTTAATTTTCTTCAAAAGTATAAAATAGATTAAATATTAATTAATCCTTAAAGTCTTTGCTTATTTTGTACTAATAAACCATATATTTAAGAATATTATATTATATATATTTTTTAAAAAAATTAAAACGTTAATATTGTTATATTTTTATTATTTTTAATCTATAAAATATATTAAAATGATATTTATAATGTATTTTAATATTGACACTTAGACTTTAAGTGCCCACATTTGTAAAAATTAACAATTTTAATATTTGGGCCAACTTAAATAAGATTGATAGCGTATGTTCAGATATTTTAAATTTAACTTAAATAAACTCGCCTCTTCCAAAGTATAATTTAATCATTTCCCCGGCCATAGTACATCTAGTGCCAGTATGCCGCTAGATGGAGGAACCATGGACAAGCAAAACACGGGTTTTAATGCAACAGATTATGTTTTTTTAATCACTTTGTATACTTTCTAAACCCAGGGAAAATGTGTTCGATTAGCTGATAATGATGGTTAAATAAAAAAAATGCCCTCCAATTCCAAACATATTCTATCTTTAACTATCCCAATTAAAAATAATTATCCAATAAAAAAGGTCTTAAAATTTTAAAAGTTTTTATTTTAATCCTAACTAATACTATCAATTTTAAAAACAATTTTTTATTTTCATACATAATTAACGCCATCAGTTAAAGAAAACAAATACATTTTTTCTCTATATATTCATTAAAAAATAGATAAAATACACCGAGTGCTTTAATTACACAAATCTCCCACCTATTTTGAAAACTAATCTAAAATTTTCTTAAAACTAAAATATACATGTTACACAAACCTTCTTTATATATTTGATATTATATTTCTATTCATCTAATCGTTAAGTTTGATTTTTAAATTTTTAATCTGATTAAAATGCCCTCTCTTTAACATAAATAATTATCAAAAAAATATAATAAATATATTTTTAATTTTTTTGCATTATAAAATTTATTATTTTTTATCATTTTATAAAAATTTAATTTCTATAAAATTTATCAAAACTTATTTGTTTATGTTTTTCAAAAATTGCTAAGAACATATATCAAACTCATATTTTTGTTCATCACATATATAAAATAATATAAGTTTGAGAGACTTCTAAATAATTTTAATTTAAAATTTGTAAACATGTTTTTCATAATGAACTTATGTAATTTTCAAAATAATATAATTTAGAATTTATCAGGGTGAGGGTAAATTAATAAATAAAATTTGTTTTAATATAAATTTTAATTTAAAAATAATTTTTTGAAATATTTTTAAAATATTCCTATTGAAGTTAACAGGACTAAATTGCTTGGGAGGTCCGTTTAATTAAGGCAAAATAAAAATGTGATAAGAGTATTTTGCTCTGAAAATTATAAATAGGACATTTTAAGAAATATTAAATACTAAAAAAGTTCATACAAAGTGACTTACTATATTTAGCATAATTTTTTAAATACTGGTAAAAAAAATTTATTTTAAAATATAAATTATTATATTTAGCGCGGAAGGTGTATGTTTTTCAAAGTGTTGATCTTGATGGAAGTTTGATCTGTTTTCTGTAAATTTACAAAGAATTAAATTAAATGATTTTAAATACAATCTCAAGTAGACACACCTAGCGCCACAGAATCAAGCACCGAGAATTCGCTCCAAAACTCTGGCGGGAATTCAATAATTCACCCAATCCCGCCAATCGGGTCCAGAATCTTCTGGTTTATAAACCCTTGGTTTCCCTCCATCGCTTCAACTCACCATTTCTCTGAGAAAATTGAAATCAAACCCTAACCCTAAAGGCGACACTGTGCAAAGCTAGAAGATGTTGGAACTCCGTCTCGTTCAAGGTTCGCTTCTGAAGAAGGTGTTGGAGGCGATTAAGGAGCTAGTCAACGATGCCAACTTCGATTGTTCGGCCAGCGGGTTCTCGCTCCAGGCAATGGATTCCAGCCATGTCGCCCTCGTGGCCCTGCTCCTCAGATCCGAGGGTTTTGAGCACTACCGCTGCGACCGCAACCTCTCGATGGGCATGAACCTCAACAACATGTCTAAGATGCTAAAATGTGCCGGCAACGATGACATCATTACCATTAAGGCTGATGATGGAAGTGATACCGTCA